CCCTATCATTGTAAGCCGCCCTGAGTCCCCTCAGGGAAAAGGGCGGCCTATAAATGCTAATAAAATGAAATGAAAATGAAAAATGAAATGAAAGTCTAACCAGCAGAATAGTTTTTCTAACTTGAATTGTGGCCACAGAGAACCAAGATATTTTTGTCAATTTTCCATTCAATTATTGTTTGTTTCAAAGTCTGCACAGTTGAAGGTGTTAATCTCTTTAAAAGATATGTTACTTTGGATAGAATATTTTTGAAAATAACCTGTTGATTTCTAATACAACAGGCCATTTTCAGATAAGCAAGATAAGGTGTATTCTCATATTTTACTGTAATAAAAAAGATAATATAAACTCGACGTTTTTTGTGTGTTGGACAGAAGGCTTCCACAAACTTACCTAAACCATGTCATGGTAAATAATGAATTGGAAGTAGTAACATAAATAAATGATACCCAGTGATTAGGAAAAATTAAACTAATTTTAATGTTTATTTGTCTTTCTCATTAGGGAAGATATGTATTCTCAGGATTCGATAGACCTCCTTGCAAGCTCGGGATTACAATTTCAGAAACATGAGGAGGAAGGGATCGATACTTTACATTTTGCGGAACTTCTAATGACCTCTGGTGTGGTGCTCAGTGACAATGTCAAATGGCTTTCATTTCATAGGTTAGTCTGTTTTTCAATCTGTCAGTAAACTTTATTTGCCTTTTTTATTTAATCTAGCATAAAACAGGTATAGTTTGTATGTTGGAATTACTTGAAAAAAAGTGAATGACTGGGCAAATGGCATTGATGTACAGTTGGTGTACATGAATCTGAGAATAATTCTCAGTGGCAGAAAAATTGGAATTCTAAATATTTAATGGTTTGTAGATTATTATCAGTGCTTTGCATCCAAACTTTTTATATTTTTTTAACCTTTTTGGATTGTGAATGGTGCTTTTGTAAAAGTTCTTTTATCAGCATTTTAAACTGTTCCATAATTAACCTCACCTCTCCTCAAATCTAGTAAATAGCAAATAATGAAGACAATTCATATTTTACTGGTTCAACTTGTTTTACTTTTTGCAGGCATTAACTTTCAGCTTATTTATATGTTGCTGGAATTGAACATACGGCTCAGATTACATGACACAGCTTTTTTCCTTCTGTTTTGTTACATTTTCTACTCAATTTCTTCTTACCAAATCCCTGTAATCATGGAGTTGCCTTGAACTTTTTGTTCTCAGCATTTATTTGTATATTCCATTTAATTCTAGTTGCTGAGGACTATCTCCTGTTCAATTTCCACTGTCAATAGTTATAAGCTGAATTGGAAAAGATTGACTTAAAATAGATCACTATAGTAAATTCTGCTATATCTAGGCATATTGCTGTTAACTAACATGTGCCATTTTACTATTACTTCATCAGTGGCTATGACTTTGGTTATATGGTGAAACTGCTGACAGATTCTAGGCTTCCAGAAGAAGAACATGAGTTCTTTCATATCCTGAATCTTTTCTTTCCATCTATATATGATGTTAAGTATTTAATGAAGAGCTGCAAAAACCTGAAGGTACATTTGTATCATTGTTTATTGGAAATCATGAAGTGTAAAAGAAAACGAGGAATTTTAGTAGATTTCATTTAAAAGGTATATATCTAACACAAGTTATATATTTATTAAGTACATGAGGCTTTATTCAACAGTTGCTTTTAATTTTATTAAAGTGATTGCTTAGCAAGAATTAATCAATCATATTTATATGACTGCCTATCACAGAAAGCAACTCTGGGCAGTGTACAACACTCCAAACATCAAATATATTGAAATACACACAAAACCTCCAATTATAAATATATGCAAGTCATATACTTTCAGGAACATTGCTTATTCAAAAAAGTCATTTGTAACCACCAAATTATTGCTGGAGATTATATATATAAGTTCAAAGTGTAACTTTGACAGTTTCAAAATTCTTTTAAAATTCTGGTCTCTACTGCTTACTTCAATAGCCCCCACTAACCAGTCAAGAGAGGTCAGACAGAGCATTGACTCTTGTGTTTCAAACATCTTCCTTTATTGCAGGGAGGGCTTCAGGAAGTTGCTGACCAGCTAGATTTGCAGCGCATTGGCCGGCAGCACCAAGCAGGGTCAGATTCTTTACTTACAGGGATGGCATTCTTCAGAATGAAAGAGGTAGGCTCATTTGGCTTCTTTCCAAATCTTTGTAGTGTGATGTTCTGGAAACCCTCTTCAACACCTTTTATGCGCGAGCTGTCCAGCTGAGTTCAGCCTTTTTAAAAGCTATTTTTCGCCCTCCTCAGGCTCCAGAGGCTTTACAGGAGCCTGGGGAGGGTGAAAACATTCGCTTCCCCCTCCCTGAAGCCTTCAGAGCGCAAAAAAACGCCCCTATGGGCAAACCGGAAGTCCGTTCCCAAACTTCCGGTTTGCTCATAGGGCCGTTTTTTTGTGTTCTGAAGGCTTCAGGGAAGCTCCTGAAGCCTCCCAGGGAGGGGGAGGCTGTTTTTGCTCTGGAGCCTCTGGAGCCTGGGGGGAGTGAAAAAAGCATGCAAATAATGGGGAGTCACATCGTTCATGTGCGCATGCGTGCTTGGGGGTGTGTGTGACACTTTGCATTATGAGTGCGGCACGCTTGCACACGATCCTCCTGCGTTCCCCATGCTTATGACAGGCGAGCCAAAAGGTTTGCCATCACAGCTATACTATTCTTGAATTCTTTGGGTTCTGCAAGTGTCAGCCGTTGTTGAAATGATTGTTTTAAATCGTAAAGATATACCCCAAAATGTTACATGAAATGTATAACCACTTGTATATTTTTTTCCTAGTTGTTCTTTGAGGATACAATTGATGATGCAAAGTATTGTGGAAGACTATATGGCCTTGGCACAGGAGTAGCTCAGAAACAGACTGAAGATGTCGAAACAGCCCAAGAGAAAATGAGTATTTTGGCTATTATCAACAATATGCCCCAGTGACAGATTGATACTTTAGGATATTAACATGGGTCCACAGAGGTAAACTTCCTTCTTGAAACTGTTTCACATCTTCCAAGATATGGCGAAAGCACGAGCGTTTTTTTAAAGAGGGGAAAAGCATCTTTACTTTGAATCTTGGTAGATTCCAATTAAGTGATTTCACAATGGCTGGAGTTTGTCTTCTATGTAAAAAAAAAAATCAGACTCGAGCTACATACTATGTATATGACTCCTTTTTATTTTAAACTTTACTGAATTTGCAAGTAGTTTTCTCAGAATTTTCAGCAGAGCTGAAGTTCTTTCATGCACTTGCAGATTTAGTTTTGACTGCTTATTTTTAAATTTCTTTTGCTCTCTGTGAGGGTGATGCGTTTCTAAGCCCTCTGCTAGTTTTTATCTTTTGTGTCAGTCTGTGAAAGTGATCCATTCAGCCCTGGTGGTGAAGACTGCATGAACATAATGTAACTATATGCTAGAAGTCACCATAATGGTGGTCCTGGATGGTATTATCACTAGTTCTTCCTTCCTTTAGCTTGCTGAGCCATGATATCATATTGGCAATTTTCATCTTAATAATTTTAGAATAGAATAAAACTGTCAGCATGCTTGAGACTGCAGTAATAATTGGGACCAAAAATAGTTTCATGTTGAGTGAAATACTTTAACCCTTTTGTGAATAGGACAGTAATTGGGTAAAATCACAACTATCTAGTAATAATGGGCTATTAAAACTTTTAGATTACCATTTTATACTGCTTTGAAGAGGAACCCTGGATTGTTCAATAGATGTAGGCTAAAAGTTCATTTAATAGTTTTGCAAGTGTCATCATCCTGAAAACAAAAATCCTGTTTGGGGGCAGAGGGGATCTTGACAAGTGTGAAATTTTAATAAACTCCCCATTATGTAAAGTATTACAAGCTGTTGTTAAATGCATCTGTGTATATAATTGGTTCTTAATTTTGTAAAATAAAGACTTTTCTTAAGGCATTAGACTTGGTGTTCTATTTTTTTTGGGGGGGGAAATGTTTGGTAATTGCTTTTGTATGAAAAGAACGGTCAGCAAAAGGAACTTAGTCACTAGATAGAGAGAAAACCTCTCAGATGCAAACTTAACCTCTGTTAAATTTTATAGAGGCTAGTTCTAATCCTCCTGCTTATGCAAATTTTCATTAAGGTTCCTGAATCTTACTTTTTACATAGTAAAAAATCCTCTGTGTGCATGATGTGTATGTGTATTAATCCAGTTTTGAAAAGTGAGGGTTTTAGCATAATTCAAATAGTAACAAATACTAGTTAATTCTACTCTGTAAAAACATTTTCATCTCAATGTGAGTACTCTCCTCTTTTATGTACAAAACACCTTAAATGTTGCAAGCATGACAAGCAATATACAGGAAGTCACATTCCATTCCTGTCTGTAACTTTTTAAGTTAACTTTTTAACTTAAAAACGTTATGATTAAAACTTTTTAGTTATAAGTCAGAACTCATTCAGATAGTCTTCGGCTTACAAGAGTTTGTTTAGTGACGTTAAACAGCACTGAAAAAAGCGAGACCATTTTCCATTTCCGGAAAAGGGGCCAAAATTCACTTTAATAATCATTTAGCAACAGAAACTTTTGTATATTGTTGTAAGTCAAGGACTACCTATATTGTATTTACAAACGGTGCCCACTCTTAAAAATACTAGATGGCATTGTTCTTCGAGTAGGCAAACCACTGGAAGCCATGCAATATTTTTGCGAACCTTTGAAAATAGGCTGTATATTAAAAAATTCACAGCTTCAGTGGTTTATCAAAACATCATGTGGCTTCAGCAGTTCATCAATTGAAGGAAGAACAATGTTGTGTACCATTTTTAATAATAGGCAGCCTATTCATAAGTACGGTTGGCCCTAAGTCAGATGTACTTAACCTGGGGACTTCTATATATTAGATATGCTACTATTTCTTCAGATCTATAATTTTCTTAAACATGAGTATCTTCAAATACTGGAAGAATTTTAGATTAGGAAGAGTATTTCAATGGGTTTAGAATGTATATTTATATATGCTTAGAAGATATTCATAGAGCACCTATCTTTTAAAAGGAGAGATGACCAGATAGTTCATATAGCATGTTTATTATAGGGGTGCTTTTGAAGTTTCCTTTTGAAGTAGAAAATATTTTTAGCAGTGCTTGCAAAAAATAGGTATTTGTTTTTCCACATTCCACATTATTTTATTACACTCGATAAATGTCCAGTATGACTGTATAACAGTAGGTTCTAATCATTCATTGTAGAATGAAACATATTTCATAACCATCCTTAACAGCCAGGAGAAAAAGCTAAGAATTTCATATAAAGAATTTCTTGGAAGCTTCTTTATATATCTGATTTCTTCCATATTTCCCAAGTAGATTTAATGACTGCTCTTGTAATTCTGGAATCAGATCCACTTGGCACTGTGCACCCATGTGAAGCACAATAAGACAGCATTCTAATACATCAGGAAAAGGGGAAACCTATAAATAAAAAAGTAAATAAATGAAAAAACTTGAAGTTCCAAGTAGGTATATTATCCTTGTTTATAATATTTAAATTAGCAATGCTAACATATAAAGCACTCACATGTGAGTAAAAATAAGAAATTAAAACTAGCCATATGCCATTGAAACAACATCAGTTTTAACAATTTAAAAATAGTTTAAACTATTAATGATCAAATTAGAGTTAGAGAAACATCATCCCCATCAACTATTTAAAATTAGAAAGTAATCCTACCTATCTCTTCTAAGAATGTTCAATTATACTACTATTATTTGAGTTGGAAATTATTTTAAATTTTACAGTTTGGAGTGCAAGCACATTGCTTCCTACAAGCTAGATCTTTGCTGATTGCAGAACAACAATAGATTACTCTCTGGAGTGTTTGGAAGAACATAATGAACATAAAAAAGCCAAAACAGTTCTAGGCTACATAAACAGAGGGATAGAATCATCATAATGCCTTGATAAGGCCACACTTGGAATACTGCATTCAGTTTTGGTCGCCACAATGTAAAAAAGATGTGGAGTCTAGAAAGTGCAGAGAACAACAAAGATGATTAGGGGACTGGAGACTAAAACATGAAGAACAATTGCAGGAACTGGGTATGTCTAGTTTAATGAAAAGAAGCACTAGGGGAAATATGATAGCAGTGTTCCAATATCTCAGGGGTTGCCACAAAGAAGAGGGAGTTAAACTATTCTCCAAAGCACCTGAGGGTAGAACAAGAAGCAATGGGTGAAAACTAATCAAGGAGAGCTGCAACTTAGAATTGAGGAGAAATTTCCTGACAGTTAAACAATTAATCACAAGTTGTGAATGCTCCAACTCTACATTTGTAAGAAGATGTTGGATAACCATGTGTCTGAAGTGGTGTAGGATTTCCTGCCTAGGCAGGGGGTTGGACTAGAAGAACTCCAAGGTCCCTTCCAACTCTGTTATTCTATAATAGGTTTTTTTTGTCTGAACGTGGAAAAGGGCCAGAAATACCAATCTGCAAAAAATGATATTAATCATTTAATTTAATCATTTCAGATGTAGACCTCTCCTAAATTCTTCAGATTATGTAATTTGTAGGCTTTTTCCTAGTCAGATTGTCACTGTCAATAAGCAACATTCATGGCAAGTAGAGAAAATACTGCTGAAAAAGAATCTTAAGTCTTACCTTCATACTTTCTGGAAATTCTGCAAGTTTCTGATTTGCCTCTGTAAGTTGCTTTGTCAGATCTGGCAGAGAAACTAGTTCCTTTCTTTGTTCTTCACTGTAGAGATTAAATTTAAAATATCTCATTTCCAATAATATAGTCATAATGAATTATTTACAATATATATTTTGGCAGTGAAACTGGAAGAAATTAAATTGTTCTGTCATATAGAGGTCACTTCAATTTTTTTATATAACAAATCATAGAAAAGCAATCCAAAGGATGTTATGATTGAAATAGGGCATTTGTATGTTCTTTAAAGCTTTTTGATAACGCTTAAGGGATTTTTTGGTCTTAGAATAGTACATATTTAAAGCTAAAACTCGCCTTGAAAATGTATGAGTTCAGGACCACAGCAGTTTGGGTATCAACCATTAATGTATATTCCCTACATCTTCCTAGCATTATTCCTGTACTATGGCAAGGTCCGCTTTTATGATCCTGTATCCCTTCATTTAATCCTTTCTGACACCCTGCGGAGTTCACAGCAAAAAAAAATTTTTTGCACCCTAGGAGAGAAACATCTGACGCTTGATTGAACTCTCAACTTTCCGAATGGGAGGTGTCTTCACCACTAGGCTATCATGCCACTTATTAATGCATATTCCCTAGAGATTAAATTCACCATACGGTGAAGTATGCATATAGAATAGAATAGATAAGGAATCTCAACAGGCGGCTAAATAAGAAATAAATAACGAAATAAGGAACCTCAACCATGCCAAAGCTAATGTACTCTAAGTTAGGTAGGAGTCAAATCCAGCACAGTGGGTTTCTGCTTCTTTTGAATGTAATTTTTTCTACAGAAATTATTTAGCAAATCTTACTTCAGATTCTGGTTTATTGCAGACTTAGCCTCTAATTCCTTCCCCTCAGCACTTTGATGGAGGTTGGTTTTCTGATGCTCATGAATCATTTCTGCAAAAATTTGTTGAACTGTAGAAATATCCCTCTGTAAACTCTGGACTTCAGCATGTTCTTCTGAAAGGAGCACTCTACATCCCCTCAGTTTCATCTTTCTGTCTTCTAAACTGAAATGGTCTGCTAAATCAGATTCTGAGGCAACTCCATTGGAATCCACATAAAAAGGATATTTAGTCTTGGTGGGCTTCAATACAGTTTCTTCAGTCAAACATGCTGTATTAATGCTGTTCCGTTCAAGGGTAGTAGGAGAATGAGCTTCAGAGGTTTGTTTCAGGGATTCTAAGCCAGCATTCTCAGGGGAATTCCACCACAGGTTGTATAGCTGTCCATAAGCCACAAATGCTTCTAAACTTCTGAAAGCTGCCATGCTCTCAGGATTTCTGCTGTCCAGGTGGTCTCTCACATGATTGCAGCCTACTGAACAAAACAAACATAATTGGGAATACTGTGCTTTTCAATCTTTTTCCAAAACCCGATGTTTAGAATTGCATTGTTATGAATTTTTGCCACTATAAGGAAAATAGATTAGTTTTAGTTTATATAATAGATTAAATATTAAACATACAATTCTCCTAGTAGGTGGAGACATCATCCAAGCATGGGTATGACTCCATCAGGATCCAACCCCTCTGGGTCTACAAGCATTAAAGACACGCCCACGAGGCTCCTCCTACCCAGCTTAGACTCAGTCGAGCAAGCCTACCAGGTTTTCCTCAGGCTCTAACACTGTTCTGACTTCGCTGCAGCCACACCGCTCAAAAAACCGCAGGAGATTGCTGTAGCCACGCTGCCAGAAAAGCCACTGGAGTGCAGGGCGTTTTGCACACCGCCGCTCGTGTTTGCTGCTTCAGAGCAACCATTCGTTGCGAGCTGCTGGGGGACTTAAATTGGTTCCGATTGCCTCCTTCGCTCTGATTATCAGCTTTGGCTTCCAGATTGATCGTCAGGCGGCCGTTTAATTAGTGAACTAGCCAACTTGTTGGTTCGCTCCCTCAGTCCTTCCTCAGGGCCATATCTACTCGGGTGGACATTTTGTTTCGGCAGGAAACCTACGGTGGCTATTTTAGATGCTCTCCTCAACCATGAGTAATGCCAACCAACAAGACCACTATTATACAGGGTGATAATCGTAGTTACCCCTGGTTCCGACTGTGACAAGGTCTCAGATTCTGCCCCACAAAAGGCCACATCTAAGACCAAGCATTGCACTGCTCCCATCTCTGCCCCATTGGTTTCTCAAATAATGATCAATCCTACTGAAGATCTCTCAACTGATACTGATGGGGATATCTTCACTCCTACTTCCCCCTTAAACCCTGAGGATGGGATT